GAAGGAAGGAAGGAAGGAAGGAAGGAAGGAAGGAAGGAAGGAAGGAAAGAAGACAGGCAGGCACCATTAAGGCAGAAATAGTCAAATTCTAACAGTACCATAACTCCCATCGCTAGCCTGGACAAACATCAGACTAACACTCCTTGGGGCTTTTTGTTTGTGGTTTTTGTTGTTGGTGGTGGTTGTTTGTTGTTGTTTGTTTGTTTTTAGTTTTTTGTTTTGTGTGTGTGTGTGTGTGTGTGTGTTTGCATTATTTTGGGGAGAGAGTCTCATAATCCTGGATTATAGGTGTCTTTTGGGACAGTCCCAGAATCCTGGAATTAAAGGTATGTGCCGCCATACTTGAATCTGGTTTTGTTTGTTTTGAGACAGGGTCCTTTGAAGCTCTGTCCATCCCTAAACTCACTATGTAGCAAAGATTGACCTTTAACCTCTGACCTTCTTGCCTCCATCTCCCAAACCAGATTACAGAGGTACACCTGATTGCTGTGGTGCTGAATACTGGGCCAGTACTCTACCAGCTGAGCAGCAGCCCTGGTCTCTGACTAATGCTTTTTGTTTTTGTTTTGACAGGGTTTCTCTGTGTGTAGCCTTGGCTATCTTGGAACCCACTCTGTAGACCAGGCTGGCCTCAAACTCACAGAGATCCACCTGCCTCTGCTTCTGAGTGCTGGCATTAAAGGCACTACCCATACCCTGTAGCTTTCTTATTGTGAACCAAGCTCTGGTCCTCCAGAGGAGGAGAGAAGCTCTTAACCACTGAGCCATCTCTCCAGGCCTCTCACCTAATGCTTCTTGTTCTACAGATTCCCAGTCAGGTCTCCTGCCATCAAGGAGGTATTAGTCTATTTGTGGAGGTTAGGCCATCGCCTCAAGCTGTAGGAAGTGTCTAGGTGAAGGGACGTGAAGGAAGTCAGCTCAGCTGAGAAAAAGTGGGGAAGTTACCAGAGAAGTCAGTGAGTTAGGAAATGAGTTAGGAAAAGTGAGTAACAATTAGTCAGCTAAAAGGAGAGGAAAAGACGCTTCAGCAGGCGAACAGCAATGGGAAAGGCATGTAATGCATTGTGGGAACTTTACATGCTAGCAACCAAAGCTTAGAGCAGGGAATGAAGTGGTGTGATTCTTAGACAGAGGTAAGCAAGGGCTGGATAACCTAGACTCTTTCCCAGAGAGTGTTACAACTGTCAAAGTGAAAGGGACCAAAGGAACCAATTTATAGTGATTCCAGAACCCACATCGTAGAAGGAGAGAATTCCTACAGAATGACCTCTGACCTCCCCCCCTCCAAACACATAGTGGCACACATGTGTTCTACCCCCACTTCCACGTACACAAATGAACAAATGCTGTTAAAAAAAAAAAAAGAAAGAAAGAAAGAAAGAAAAGCTGGGCATGGTGGTGCACGCCTGTGATCCCAGCGCTTGGGAGGCAGAGGCAGGCGGATCTCTGTGAGTTCCAGGCCAACCTGATCTACTAAGTAAATCCAGGACAGCCAAGGCTACACAGAGACACCCTGTCTCAAAACAAACAAACAAACAAACAAACAAACAAAAAAACAAAACCAAACAAAAAGGTTGGAGGGCAGAGAAAACACCTGGGGTCTAGTATGGATTACATACATACACACTCACATATATATGGCCAAACCAAGTCAGTGATCACAGCCCACTGCAGGGGCTGAAGAAAGCCCCAGTTTACTGAAGCTCCAACGTCCTGGTCAGAGTGTTCCTCACAAACACTGAACATCGTCAGAAAAGCTGGCCAGGGAGGGACAGGAGGCTCAGATTTACACTAGGCAGACACAGACCCTCTTAGGGGGCCCACAGGAAAGGCAGGCAGGCCTTACTGGGTATCCCACAAAAGCACTTTTGGGTGGAAGCCAAAGGGAGGGAAATGAAATACCCTTCACCCCATGAGGGGAAGGAGTCCCCAAACCCAGATGAGGCAAGAATTCTGAGGCAAATGTCATTTCTGGGTTGTTTTTTTTTTTTTCCTTGTTGTTGTTTTCTCCTCTTCTAGACAAAGCCACTGGATTCTGTGGTCCCTCCGGATGCCAGTCATTTCCTGAGGAGATATCAGGCCAGCCCAGACCTCATTGTTCTTGGTTTCCAGCTATGGCCGCCATAACCTGACAAGTACCAGGGCTGGTCTCTCTGTGGGTGCCTGGAGAAGCTGTCAGAGAGCTGTCTCTGCTTTTCAGAGTAGGCTTCTGGTCTGCAACGGGAAGAGGATTCTGCTCCTTGAGGCATGGCCGGAAGGCAGGAATAATGTGGGCCTCAGTCTGCAAGAGCCTTGCTCTCCGGATGCAGCTGAGGTGGGCCTCAGTCGGCAAGATGCCCCCGGCCCTGCTGCTTACCCTGCTTCTCTGTGAGTTCATAACTTACCTCTCTCTTCAATTTCACGAGACTTGAAGTCAGTGATATCAACAGATTTCTTTTCTTTTTTCTGTCTTCCAGATGCAAGCCTCCAGGCTCAGGAAAACTGTAAGTCCTGGTGTTTTGTTGTTGTTTTGTTTTTTAACGTGGCTTCCTTCTCTGTGTCTTCTCTGAGCTTCTTAATGACTTTGGACTGCCTAGGGGTTGGCATTTACAATAACCAAGAAAAACATCCCAAAGGAAAAGTTAAGTGGATTCTGTCTTGGCATTTAAAAAAAAAAAAAATTAGAACAAAAACTTGTTCTGAGTCAAGGTTCATGGTATGGTTTAGAAACAGTGTTGTAGAAGAGCGTTTTAGATCATCTGCTTGGTGGGTTTCTGTTTGTTGGAACTGGGGAGATGATTTTAAAAAAAGCAAACCTTCATGAGTCTTCACTGGTTTGTGGTTTTTCTGTCATACCCTGTTTTTACACCATACCACAACTCCAACTGTTGATTTTCAAGTTCTTTTCTTTGTTTGGTTGGGTCTGGTGTCTGCAATCCCAGCACTTGGGAGGCGGACCCAGAAGCGTAGGGATCAAGGGCAGCTTCAGCCACACAGAAGTTTGAGGGAAGCCCGGACCGCACGGGATGCTGTCTGAGACAACCCCCCCCCAAAAAAAAAAAAAAAAAAACAAAAAAAAACAAAAAAAAAAAAAACCAAAAACCTATAAACTTTAAAAAAAAATTCTTTTTTTTCTTTCAATTCTTTTAATTTACAAATGAGACACCGTTGACTGGACAGACTTCCGAAGGCTGAAGGAACCCATTAATGGGTGCCAGGGCCCCCTTTCTTCTAAGAGATTAAATGCAAGGAAAGGCCGGATCTCCTTTTCCACCCACCTAGCTTCATATCTGGCTGAGATCTCCTAAGCCTCCACGTGGGGAAGGGTTCTGTCTGTCTTTAAAATCGGGCCCATCCTCTCTCTCTCTCTCTCTTTCTCTCTCTCTCTCTCTCTCTCTCTCTCTCTCTCGAGCCCATTTGGACCCCTTGAAATTTCAGATAAGGGGGTTTGCCCTGTTTGCTCTGAGACTCTGAAGACAGGGGCTCAGCCCAGCCCAGGGACTGGGGATCAGGAGGCAGGGCACAGGTGACATAATTTGTCAGTCTAAAGTCACTTCAGAGTGTGAAGACCAGGGGTGCTGCCGTTGCTGGTAGCTGGCCCCTATAGCTCTTTTGAGCCTAAGAACATGACCGGGCTGAGTTGAGCGAAGGACAAAGGATGGAGCTGTGGCGCCGGGGTGGGGAGGGCTGCCGGTCTGTGAGTCTGTGCTCAGTCTGTGTTTCCTTAGACATCCAAATCCTTTGTCACTGTATGGAGGCAGGCTGTGTAGATTTACCTTCAAGCCGTCCCCACTTAAGGATGGAATCAATGAGTCTCAGAAAGACGTGACTCAGCCTAGAAAGTCAGGGATTGTCAGCACTTCGCTCTCCACTCCCAGAAACCCAGACGTGTGTCTGGAGTTGGTGTTTTGCTCTGCTTGGCTTGGTCTGGTTTGAGACAGGGGTCTCACACCGTAGCCTAAGGTAGTCTTGAACCCAGTGTTTCGCCCAGGCTGCCTTTGAACCCTAACTCCTCCTGCCTCAGCATCCTAGTGCTGAGATTTCCATGTCACCATCCCTGGTGACACTCATGTCTTTTAATTCCAGTTTTGCCTTGTTTCTTGGACCCCTTTCCCTTTGCTGTAAAATGCAAGCAGTCCCCACACCCCGAGGCACAGACTAGGGTGAGGCTGAGATTGGAGTATTGGGTCTGGCTCATTTGCCCTGCCCTCAGGGATTAGGAAACAACAAAGAGCAAGGGGATTCCCTCCTAGCCCACCTTTAAACTTCTGTCCTATTCCCTCCCCACCTCATCCATGCCCTCCTAGCTCTCTTCCACGCACTGGGTGTCATGTACCTCAAACTCGCTATGTAGCTGAGGATGACATTGAGTTTCTGGTCCTTCTGCTTTCGTCCCTAAGAGCTGAGATTGTAGGCACAGACCACTCGAGCTGTGTGCAGGGCTGGGAATCAAACCCAGGGCTTTAGGCAGGCATTCTGCGGGCTGAGCCATACCCAAGCTCTCCCCCATCTCCTGTCTGGAGTCTGCCCTGCCAACCTTAGTGGGTTCTTGCTTCTCAAGAGCCCCATGGCTTGTCTTCCATGGCACCTGCTCTTCCCCTGTCTCTTTCTCTGCTTCGCATGGCATCAGCTGTAAGGAAAATGAGGCAGAGAAGCAGACAACAGGCTGAAGCTGCTTTATTGGAGCAGGGAGGGGCCCTCAGCCTTTTTGAGGGATGAGGGTTGAGTGCTCTTTGAGGTTTTGGGGGATGTGTGTGTGTGTGTGTGTGTGTATGTGTGTGTTTGATCAGAAAGTTGCAGCTATTTTTTGTGGCTGGACTAGGAGCAGGGTGGGTTCTGTTTGATAGCCAGGCACATTGTTTCTACAGGGGGAGCTGAATGGTTAGGCTGGGGCTGAGCCGTTCTTTATGGCCAGGGGCTGTCACCCATTTTAGCCTGACTCAATTCCTCATGACCTGAGGCTATTATACAATATATCCCAAATCTGAAAAGTTGAAAAGAAAAAGCCAAGGAGGCTGGGTGTGGTGACGTACACCTTCGATCCTGGCACTCACTCGGGAGGCAGAGGCAGGTGGATCTCTGTGAATTTGAGGTCAGCCTGGTCTATAAAGCCAGTTACAGGACAGCCAAGGCTTCACAGAGAAACCCTGTATCACCACCACCACTCCCCCCCCCCAAAAAAAAAAAAAAGAGAGAGGAGAGGGTTGCGGTGTTGTAGAGGAGAGCTTCTTCTAGCTGGAATGGGGAAGGGGCATGCTGAGGTCCCTTCCAGGTGGGATAGGGGCTGATAAGGTTTCCTTTGTTTGTTTTTGAGACAGGGATCTGCCTGCCTCTTCCTCCCAGAGTGCTGGGATTAAAGGCGTGCACTACCAGGCTCTGAGGGGCTGGTAGCCTTTGGCCATGAAGAATTGAGTGACCTTTGGGACCTGTAGCCTTTGTTAGAAGGACTTGGTAAGGAAGCTGAAGAGGCAGGGACTGCAAGAGCAAAGTTAGAACAACCATAAAGATTGGGCCTGCCAAGCGGGTGATCAGTGGCTCCCAAGTGGTCCAGGTGTCCTTGCAGAAAATCCCGTCTACTCTTTCTCTGCTTGATTGGTTAGCATTTTCCTGTACTAGGGCATTTTGGTTTGCTTAAAAAGAGCCTTCTTTCCCTAGGCAGGTATAGTGGCCATCATTGAGTCTAGTCCTCTGTGGGCTTGGAGGACCAGCCAGGGAATCTATTTGATTTTGTAGGGTGATGATGGTTTGTTGTACCAAGATCCGGTCTTCCTTAATCTGATTGGTGTTTTGGCTGTGTTGTACCCGTTAGAGCCCTGTCGCTTCTTGTTCAGTGAGGGCCACTGGGGGGCTTGTTTTGGTATAGGTTGAAGTTCAAAGCATAAAAATGAGAGTATGAAGATAATAAGGAGCAGTCGGGGGAGGAACCAGAGTGGGAGTGAACTAAAAGCCCATACATAGGGGGAGGCTTGTCACTGAATTTTTGTCTGGCCTCTGTGTCTTTGCGCCCCATCTCAAACCAGTTAGGGTTTGTTGGTGGGGAAGCAGCAACCATCTTTGAGGAGGGAGAAAATCCCATCCTCAGCAGGAGTCAGAGCTGGTCATGGAGCACTGCATAGGATGGCGTTTGTCCTGAAGGATGTTACACTGATCTGTAATTTCCCTGAAGTTTTTGAGAGCTGTCTGAACACAATGTCCAGAGAGACAAAAAAGAGGGATGAGTTGGATGGAATTGGATCCCCCTTAGAGGTCACTTGAACTGCTTTTAGGGGTTTAGGGTGCAGATTTCTCTTTGCGATGACCAAAGGGACCATATAGAAAGGACAGCGGAGCTGGGCCTGGTGGCACACACCTATAATCCCAGCACTTCACTTGGGGAGGCAGAGGCAGATCTCTGTGAGTTCAAGGCCAGCCTGATCTACAAAGTAAGTCCAGGACAGCCCAGGCTACACAGAGAAACCCTGTCTCAGAAAACCAAAGGGGGGTGGGGGAAAAAAGAAAGGAGCAACAATTAGAGTGCCTGAGGAGGGTCCATCCAAGGGACCTCAGTAAAACTCAACAGATGGCAAAGATCCAGAACAAGTCAAAAGTGATGACTGTACAACGTTGGGGGGACACACACAGTTTTCAGCAGCCAGTTCCTCTCTGGGCTCCCAGAGAAGGCCCTTTATCTCTCCAGGAAAGCTGTACAAGGAGGATATGCGCAAACCTTCCGTTTCCTCCCTATCTCTCCGTGAGCCAGGTGTGGTGGTGCAGGCTCTTTACCCTGCATTCAGGAAGTGGAGGCAGGAGGTCAGATCTTGATGCGTGAGCTCTTGTCTCAAGAAACAATACAACAGTGGAGGCAGCGGCGGTGTATGCCTTGTCGTAAATCAGAGTACTCGTAAATCAGAGGCAGGCAGAACTCTGAGTTTGAGGCTAACCTGGTCTACAAAGTTCCAGGACAGCCAAGGCTACACAGACAAACCTTGTCTCAAAAAACAAAAACAAAACAAAACAAAAAAACAAACAAAACAAAACAAAAAACAAACAAGGGGCTGGAGAGATGGCTCAGAGGTTGAGAACACTCACTGTTCTTCCAAAGGTCCTGAGTTCAATTCCCAGCAACCACATGGTGGCTCACAACCATCTATATTAAGATCTGGTGTGCAGGCAGAATGTTGTATAAATAATAAATAAATCTTTAAAAAGCAAAAACAGGCAAACCTGGCATAGTACCTTGCTCAAGGGAATGTGCTGGCATCCCCAGTACAGAACAGAACAAAAGAATCACACGCAGCCGGGGAACTCATGGCGTCTTTAAGATGAGAAGGGCCTCTGGCCTTGTTTAGAGAAGCATTTCCTCTTTGCATCAGCTCCATTGACAGGCCTGCTGACCCCTCCGATACCCGCTCTGTTTGACTGAGACCCAGCTGTGCTAGGTCAACACCAGGGTTAAGCAAGCCAGTCCACCCAAGTGGGGTATGTGAAATGCGTGTCTTACACTAGTTTACTCCAGGTTGTTCAT